CAGAGAGGCTTGTTTACATTCAGTCAGGACCCTGCAGGGGACACCCACCTTGATGTGGTGCAACAGACAATCAATGCTCTGCCGGAGGGTAAGATTTAAGCCCTCACATAAAAAATATCAGGTCGGTCGTTTGGTCGGGGATATTTTTTTTAGGGGGGGGGGCTGGGGGCTGGGTATAGATATGGGTCTACCCTTTCCTCTAATTGACGAGTAAATGGAAAGAATGGCCACTTGTCGGTTACCAGTTCTTCTCTACCAACGTACACGAAATGTTTAGGCAACATGTATTGCACTCGCCAAATATACTGTGTACATGTACATGCATGCGATACAATGTACAGTACATTTACACATGTATACAATGTTTGCAGTACATCACACCGCAATACGGTAAATTCAAACTGTACTACCATTTAGGTATGTATGTTTTGTAATAAAATGCAAAATTATGCATTAGAAGGAAACAGTGATGGCAAGGTTTTTTTCAAGTGAAAAAAAAAACGACTAGAGATTTCTGGATTTTTGGGTCAGTCGGCTGAGGGCAACACAACTTCTTTGGGGGCCTTGTCATTACACCTCATGCATATTTATGACCCAAACACACTTCTTTCATTGGTCAATGTTCCAACTGGTCAGGGAAGTAAAAAGTATATGTAACTGCCCCACATGTGCGACGCATATACCATAGCAAAACTAGTCGGTAGTACTGGGGAAAGAAGTACTCCAAGATGAGCTCCTAAACTCATAATATGATGGGATAGCACTGTATGATAGCACTGCCTGGCCCTCTTCACCAGTCTATGACAGGGGCCAATTTCGCAGCACTGCTTAGCACAAAAATTTGCTGAGCACAAAAAAGGATGGCTTATAAAAGCAGTTACCAGCCAAAACTGCACATAAATTTTCATGATAATCAACAACAGCTGAATACTAATCACGAGCAATATACATCACATGGTATTTTGGCTGGTAATCTGCTTTCATAAGCCAGACTTTTTTTTGTGCTAAGCAAATGTTTGTGCTAAGCAGTTCTATGAAATGGTCCCAGGCTAGCAACAAGAACATTCTTTCGGTCTTTCAGTCAGTCGGATAAGAGACATTTGGTTGCCCTCTCGGACCAGCAGAATGTATCATTCTTTGTTTTGATCATTGACGATTCTGCTTACAGGATGGACAGTGTGTATTCTGTCGGCCGTCTCATCCAGTGCATCTCTGGCTGGTAGCCTGACGGACGGGGACCGGTTAATCATGTGCGTCTCAGTAGAGGTAACACACCGATCATCGTCAATCAAGCTATGGTAAGAAACCTAAATCACACTTTTATGACAGAACCGGCCAAAAAAAAATTGGTTTGGAATCTGGGCGTTCCTTTTTATTTGTATCATTAGTATTATTTTTTCTGCTTAGAAGCTCTGCAAAACTAGACCATGATATCAACCATTGCCTTTGATTTTACACTGCAAACAGAGTCCCAGTGGGCAAGGGCCGTCGGCCGCAAGCCTCCTGGAGAGTTTGACAGCATCCTGACAGAGAGCAAGCTCAGCGTCAAGGAGACAGACAAGAGGGCCTGGTGGACCTGCAGACAGGAGCTAGACCAACGCATGCAGGTACTAGACAGTGCTCATAACAAGACAAGACAAACCCAGTAGACCTCCTCTCAGAGTACAGACAATTCTATTTCCCAGCCGCTCTGGAGATCAGGGAAAACCGTGAAAATGAGATTCCATTTCTTCCAGTCAGGGCAAACGCAGGGCATTTGGGAAAAACACCAAAAAAGCAGGGTTCTCTTGGAGTTTTCTCTCAGAAAAAATTAGAAGTGATTGAGATTTTTTTAAAAATTATAACTTCGCATAGAAAAGTAGGAATCCAGTGAATTTGGTATGATCATTCTTAAGCTTTGAGCCTTTATTCTTCTCTGCCACACCAACAGCCCTGACGGAAGCGATGGAGGAGACTCTGTTAGGGCAATGGAAGGGGCTGCTGATTGGTCAAAGGAACAAGGAGGAGCGACGAACCATAGCCCTGGCTGCAGAGAAACTCAAGACTCTGATGGAATCTGCCTGCCAAAAAACGGTGGACTCACAGCTCTGTCAGGTAGGCTGCTAGAAAAAAAGCTGAGTTTTGACAAGAAACGCCAAGACACTTGAGGTGGTTGTAGCTGTGTGTTATCCTCCTATGAGTTTTATGCATTTCCAAATAATCCATTTGTATTCTACGCGCCTCATTTGCAGTTTTAAGTTACCAGACTTGCAGTCTAGTCACCTAAATTACTATTTAGTCACCTGACTTCTTATCTAGTCACCCGACTGTTGGTCTAGTCACCTGACTTGCAGTGTAATCAACTGACCTGCAGGCTAGTCACCTCACATGCAGTCTAGTCACCTGACTTGCAGTCTAGTCACCTGACTTGCAGTCTAGTCACCTGACTTGCAGTCTAGTCACCAGACTTGCAGTCTCGTCACCTGATTTGCAGTCAAGTCACCTGACTTGCAGTCTAGTCACCTAACATGCAGTCTAGTCACCTAACATGCAGTCTAGTCACCTGACCTGCAGTCTATTGACTTGACCTGTAGTCTGGTCACCTGACTCACAGTTTAATTGCTCCGATCGTTCGCACAAAGAGATCATTTTACTGTGATTATTTAAAGCTCTGTATCCTTTCATTCCATTCTTGTGTCTTCGTTCCGTATCCACAATAGTGCATCTTGGAGTCTTTCCCAAGCTCAGCAAGCTGCAGCTGAATAGCGCCCTCGCCTGTTTGACGGGTCTCCAGCCAGGCTCCGAGGAGCTCTCTGGCCTCATTTCGTCCGTCAAGCAGCTCACGAAAGAATTGGCGCCAGCTACAGGCAGGGAACCAGTTATACTGATTCTGGATAAGGTATGTACAACTTAACACATTTCAGTAATGAAAAACATCAGATGTAAGCCATATGTATGCTTCATTGTCACCTTTTTGGTTACAATATTAGAGCAATAATTGTTTTATGTCTTTATTATCCTGCAGTGTTGTAGTACTCGTACTCATACTCGTAATTGAGTACCTTTTTCCCATACTTGTACTCGTGGCAAAGTACTCGTACTCATTAGAAAGACTTGTAGTTTAAACTCTTAAAAATACAGTGTAATAAAAATTGGGGAAAAAGTGGACTTGAATGAAAGCGTACTCGCACTCGTGGAAAACTACTCGACAACAACACTTCTATCACCCTGGTTGTCCCGATTAGGAAAGTAGCATTGTTCTCTCTCAGAACAAGAGACTCCGCAAACACACAGGGACTGAGAACCAAAATCGGGGGTTTTAGGGAAGGGTAGCCCCATCAAACTAAATGTCTACCCGCCACACTAACAAAATTGCTGCCTGATTACACTTTTTATTGCTTTTCTTTCTTTATTTCACATCATCCACTTCAATTTTTTCGCTAATAACAAAGAAAGTCTCACAGTTCTGTAATCATCTTACATATTTTCAAGCACTTATCCCAAACAATAGACTTTTCAGGCTTTCGACTTTCAACTTTTTATGTTTTTAAACTACAAAATGAAAACTAGAAAAGCAGCAGGCAGCTTTTGTGCAGCATTGGTCATAGTGCTCGTACTTCACAGTTGCACATCTAAAAGCAGTTTTTCTGAAATGTTTTGTCCTGAATAACTATGCAATGGGTTATTACCATGTAATTAGGCTATCATAAGACAATCAAGTCATGTAAAATATTACTTAGAAATTTGTGGGTTGCACCACGAATGACATAAAGATTCAATTTTTGCGCACAGGGAAGTAACGGAAAGTGCATATACATGTATTTGAGGAACCACTGGAAATAATGCAAGAATGGTAGATGTATGCAGCTCAGAAAAATAATTTCAATTGTGTAAGCTATATTATACAAATATTGAATGCATCGAGTGGTGTAGTAAAACTAGCCTCCCGAGGTGATCCATGGACATTCTATTTTCCCGAGGCGAAGCCGAGAGAAATAGAATGCTCCATGGATCACCGAGGGAGGCTAGTTTTACTTCACCACGAGATAAAGTATTCAATATTTGTTTTATAACACTTCACACACAGATTCTGCTTGATTTTAATATTTCAAGTTATTAAATCTGAACACAGTCAAAAAATATTTCAGTTTCAATACAAAGTTGGTGGGAAATGTAATACTCTCTTCCAAACCACCCCTTCACAAAATATTTGAACCCAACTCGGTGGCACGCTCTCTTGGGAACAATACGCGCTACGCGCTACGTGCAACGCTCAACGCACACACCAGCATGCATTTGCACACAAATGCCGCGCCATGGGTATAGTACTTTGGTTGCTACGGGTATAGTACTTTGGTTGCTAATGGTATAGTACTTTGGTTGCTAATGGCATAGTACTTTGGTTGCTAATGGTATAGTACTTTGGTTGCTAATGGCATAGTACTTTGGTTGCTAATGGTATAGTACTTTGGTTGCTAATGGCATAGTACTTTGGTTGCTAATGGCATAGTACTTTGGTTGCTAATGGCATAGTACTTTGGTTGCTAATGGTATAGTACTTTGGTTGCTAATGGTATAGTACTTTGGTTGCTACGGGTATAGTACTTTTGGCCGTGCATAGGAAGATAGCAAAAATAGAAAGTACCATGTGACTCGCTCTCAGCCAATCAAGACACAGAATCTATAGGTGAGGTGTTATAATGTATATTGTTGTCAGGCACACGGTCAGCGATGTGCACCTCACATTAAAATAGTAAGATATGGACTCTTGAACCAACCACACAAAATGTCATCAGCACCATATTCTAAACAGTGCGCACCAAGTTTAGTGAAATCGATTGTAAGTTTTTATTTGTAAGTAAAATTGTAAGTAAATTTGTTGCGTAAATCATGCGCATGGTGTAAGATATATGCACTATTTCTTGAAATCAGCTGCACATGTTGGATTGTATTTGGGGATGTTTCTTTTTACGATTCATCGTCATTACTGTCAGCTGCAAAAAGTCACCGTTACGTTGGGCCTAGGCTGGGCAACGGGAAGTTTCCTGAACACTAACAACCCCGAGATGAAATCGGTCACCGCGGCCGGTACCATAGAGAGGGTTTGTGTAGAAGCTTGACGTCATTCCCGGCATGTAGCGCCGCCACGGCCAGCGTGCACAGAGGGCGTGCTCCATGGCGTCGGTGACCAGATGCAACTTCGGCGACGACTTCAACAGTTGGAGAGTCACTTTTTCCTTCACTGGATTAAAAAAAAAAAAAAGGAAAGGTGAGATGCACAAATGTGTGGTAGTTCTGGTGGAATAAAACCAAAGGTGGCAAAATATGTGATGGACTGCATCTGTGTCAGATGACGTGTATACACACAAAGGTTTTGCGGTATTTGGAACGGATGACAACAGCTTCCTCATACATTTAACACACACGATTAGAGACGGCAGTTTTACATCCTGCTTCTACAGAACATTTTCGCAAGTTAGTACCTGAAAATGGTTCACTGCCTTTCAGCAGATTGTCATCACACCAGTTACAACCAAGTTGGGCTGATGTTCGCTTCAAAGAGAAGAATCAAGCCATTGTGAAGCAAATTTCTGAACAGCCCTAGCAAAACCACGGGGTTCATGTGGCCGTTGCAATGCACGTGAACCAGTAACTGTGGTTGATCTCGGAGTGACGTCACGATTACGACAGCGAATAACTCCATGTCTGAGCTTACATGTATCAAAGTACTCTTGGCCGTAGATATCTCTCTCCTGCGGTGGTAGCCTCTTCCACATTCTCTCAGCCGAGGCCGTGATTACATCCACTGACGTTATGTTTGTCTTGAAGTAGCCTGGCTCTAGTATGTGGACTGTCACGCCAAATGCTTTGGAACTCGTGCTGCATGTTAAAAAACCAAAACAAAATAAACAAACAATTTTGATGGTTTTAGAGGATTTGCAGTATTCGGGAAAGTAGAACAGACAAGTGTGTATTTGCCCGCAATCGGGGACCCCCTATTGTCCTATTTGTTTGTATTTTAACTTTTTAGGAAGACCTCCCATATGTTTTGTACACATCGCAAAATTGGGGACCTTCGGGAATTGGGGACCCTATATTGTCCTCTATTGTTCAGCGTTCCCTATTAAATGCAGAAACAAACTCACAATCATTGTCACAAAACACACACATGGGGTTTGCTGCAGTCTTGAATGTGCTATTGGGTTTCTACATTTCTACACACAGGATCTAGGTTTATATAGCCCCAACAGAAAGTTGGGGCTCACTGAGCATGCAGGGAAGGCACTTGCGGTCATCAGTTTCTGAATGGAGGGGTAACACATGATGGCTTTGGTCAAAGTTTCAATAATTACGAAGCGTCCTCCAGGATTTTTTTCCCATTTTCAATTTCTGAGGGAGAGGGGTGTTACACAGGGGCATAGGTGAGGGGAGCGGGGAGATATTCACTATACTACTAACCGCATCGTGTCTGAGAAGGCTTCCACCCCTATCTTGGAAATGGAGTATCCGCCAACCATTGCCGGCAGTAAGGCCAAGGCGCTGGACACGTTGACGATGCGTCCCTGCCCCTGGCGTATCAGCGGGAAAAAGACGTTGGTGACTTCGATGGTCCCCATCAGGTTGACGTCCAGAATGCGCTGGATCTCTCGCTTCTTGTGCCAGTGAATAGGGCCGATGTTACCGGTCACGCCGGCGTTGTTGACGAGACCCCACAGACCTGGGTTTTGGATGTCGAGAAGAGACCAAGATTCGTTACTTGAAATTGTTTGGCTAATATTCTGCACACTGGGTCACTGTCGGCACTAAACTGCAGATGCAAGCTGGCCATCGACAGCGGATTGCATGGAGAAGACCAATTACTTGAATAAAATAGCTACAGTTCCGAGTAGTGTAACCTCCCGTTTTCAATTTGGAATCTCCTTCTGCTCATAAACTACAGTAGCGTGCCTGTTAATAATAATACTAATAATATGTGGTGCTTCTATAGCGCTTTCCATCAAAAGTAGGTCTCAAAGCACTTCACAATAATTATCCCTGTCTAACAGGCCACGAGACACTTTTCTGCAGCCAAGATCAGCGCAATCTGGTCTCTACCTTCACAGGTACCCTTTTATACTCCTGGGGTGGAGAGAGAGAGACAATTGTAGTAAAGTGTCTTGCCCAAGGACGCAAGGACACAAGCACTATGTTCCCCATCTCTCGGGGTTTGAACCCATGGCACATGGGTCAAACACCATAACCGTTAAGACTGTAACCATTGCTTTAAATTGTTGGGTTTTTTTAAGGAATGTTTGGCAGTTGACTGTAGTTGACAACAATTAGCAAGTGGTATGGCCATCCTGGCTTGTTTCAGACTCAAAACATGGAGTCATGTCAGTGCATGAAATAAGCTCACACTTGCCTTTTCCTGCCACAATCCTGACAACTTCCTCGCGAGCCTGCAGTATGCTCTTCGTGTCGGTGACGTCCATCGGGATAGCTGTCACGGTCCCCTTGGGGGCGCCAGACATGACGTCCTCCATGCCGGCTCGCGTCAGGCAGCCCGCAATCACATGACACCCGCGCTTCGGCCCAAGGTACTTAGCGAGGATGTTGCCGAAGCCCGAGTCGCAGCCGGTGACCAAGACGTAACGGCCGGTGAGGTCCAAGTAGACTCGGTCCATTAGTGACACGACCAAGGCCGCAAAGGCTACCAGTGCAGCTATGATTACCAGCCAAGAAACCATGATTGCTCACAGGAATCTTCGCGTTTGTCTGTAAATGATATTCACCTAAAGTAGGAAAATAATGGGTACATGTACATGTAGATAAAACCTCCTTTCGGGAGGTCAATATTCAGAGCAGTATGTAAAACCCTTTAAAAAGCCTGCGGGTCAGTTTCAGCTGAGGGATATGAAGTGTTAAAGTAACTGTGTCACACAGAGTCACTGCACACAAAAACAGCACTGTGTACAGCAGTGAAGTGTGACTAAATCTGGCTGCATACGAACCGATCACCTTTTTAAAGTGGTACAAATTAATCTTTCTTTTGTCTGGACAATAATTCTCCGTAGGTTTCTCCTAACATTTTATAGTAGAACTTGTAACTTTATATAAAATT